AGACCCTTGTCCCAAGACCCTGTCCCAAGACCCTGTCCCAAGACCACTGTCCCAAGACTGTACTGTCCCAAGACTGTCCCCAGACTGCTCTGTCCTAAGACTTCTTCGGCACTGTCCCAAGACTGTTGACAAGTGTCTGGGTGGTGGGACTTCTTCCCTCTTCGTTATGGGGACTTCTTGATTCGCCGTACCTTGTACCACCACTCAAGCTCTAGTAAAATTTTCCCAAAATCCTCTCTTAAAAACCAAATGCTGGCCCCCCTTTTTCTTATTTCTCTTTTTGGCTACCTCTATTTCAATGTTCCAAGTAACTTGAGACCAAAACCTGTGCGCAGGTATCTTGTGATCACCTGTTCGTACAAAATTTTAACACAAATCCTCACCAAAATGCAACAAAAATCTAAGCAAGAAAAAGTAATAAAAACAGAAAGATGAGCCCACCTAAAATTCAAAGGTGACAAATGTCTACCTTCTATCGAAAAAAAATGTCTTGTACCTAATTGCCACGCGTTTCCTTCCCCCCTGCTAGCGATCTTATGGGGTATTACAAAAACTGTCTATGTCCGGTCCCCCCTACCAAACCAACCAGCGTACCAGTCTTAACTCGAGTTGAATTTTGGATATTCACCTATTATCACCAACGCGTGTTATGGCTAATGTAACTAAGTCAACGATGTCGATTAATTAGTCTAGTTTCTCCCCTTTTTACAATTTGCAACCGCTCACCTCTAGCCTAACCAGTCCCCCTTCTAACCTCCCCCCTTTCTAGCCCCCCTTCTTAAGCCTAGAAATTTCTTTAAGCGCCGGGTGCTAAACCTCTCAAGAGAAAACCGTAGACCTGTTTCCAGGCCTGCTCAAGTAAAAACGTTCCTTAAAACTGGGGGATTTCGCTTATCCAATTTTACACTTATCTCCTATAATGTAATGTGGATTCTAACGATACCCGTTCTGCCCAACTTGAGAACTCGAGAACTGTCAAATCCTTCTTGGCTGCTTTCCCACTCGACTGGTCACCTGTTCCAGTCCAGTCTCCTATTGGTTCAGCTCAAGTGTTCCTGAACCAGTTTCCCACTCGGCCGGTCACCTCTTCCAGTCGAGTCTCCTATTGGTTCAGCTCAGGTACTCCTGAACAACCCTCCCACTCGGCTGGTCACCTCTTCCAGTCAAGTTTCCTTGTTGTCCAGCTAAGTTCCAAACTATCTGAAAACCCTTGACAACGCCCCACACTCGGGCACTTTATTACGGTTACTGGGTTAAATTGCTAGGTTGATCGAAACGATCGAACTTATAAAACAGTATGGGTATACTATTTAATTAATATAAAGGTTTGATCCAACTGATCTGGTGTCAAAGTCACTGTCTTTTTTCGTTTTATGGTTTTTGTTCCTTTTTCTATTCTTTTTTGGTTTTTTTGTTTTGCTTTTTGTCTTTTTGCTCGTGTCTTTGTCCCCCTAGTTGCCCCCCTTTACTCGGTTAGCTAAGCCTCGTTCGGAGAGCGTACCAGGAAATTTTCTCGAGTTTTCTTAAAAAGCTATCACGGTACAACCGGAAGGTTTGCACGTTCCTGTCGAACCGTACCGCCGGTACTCTAGAATGGGCATTCAGCCCGAAGCTGTCTCAAGTGGGTTCGACTCCGTAGTCTTGATGTCGTAAACACCCAGGAGCGCCATAAAAACACTATGTAACATTCGTCTACTGCAGTCACACATGAGGCTTAAGAAAAATAGGCCCTATAACCACTGGCTCAAGGGTCAGGGACACTATCTCTTGTGTTTTTCTACCTCAAGAACGGTCGGAGCCAGTTCGGTTCGTTTGTGACATGAGACTACGACCCGTTACAGCTTAAAGGCTACTACTAAAATATCCCCCCACTCTAGAATTAGAAACGTCCCCATACTTAGGTCTCTAGATACCCAAAATACATGAACGCCGTTAAAAACCGGGTTGGAACAATCCGTTAAGTTGCTTTTTTATTAGACAGTGGAACTTTGATCCATTTCAGATGGATCAACCTAAAACTCGCCTTACCTCAACATAACAATCATAAAACACACTCTAGGAATTTAAATTTGTACTCACATAGTAGCACGCTCAAGAAGTGGGAAATAATCCAGTCGGTAATTAACTCAAGAATTAAATAAAGTAACTAAAATGAGTTTAACGTTAGTCAGTTTTAATAATAAGAACAAGTTTTTTCTCTAGACTGTAAGTTCTCGTGAACCATTGGGACACTCTAGCTGTCCACCTTTCCACCGAAGGTTCACTCTGGTCCAGTTAATAATAGTACTCCAGTCACAACAATCCAGTTCGTGGGAATGCTCTCGTCTCTGTTTCAGATGGGACAGCTCTACTCTTGTTCTATTGTGACAGAAATTGCGAATAGCAATTTCCCACTGTTTTATTTTACAACTTCAACGCGCGTGTGACTCAATCGTTCTGAAATTGTTCTAACTTCTTTTTCTGATTTTCAGTTCTCGCGAGAAAATCGTGCATGACAGGTTCCATTCGAAATTTTGAAAAATTAAATTTCACTCCAAAATCAAGTGTTTTTTTGCTCCTCTCAAGGTCAAACTTCCAAATATGACCGACTGGCACAGAGGGTTGCTGCTTCGGATGACAAAATAGCTCCTTTTTCAACTGATAACTATCAAAAATTGTTGTCTAAGCACCCGCAGCGAGCCAAATTTGCAGCTCCAAATTCAGAAAAGTTGGATAGTTTTTTCGTAACCGATTTCGACCTATACAAAGCGATAATGTAATTTCCAAACGGATCAGCAGCAGGTCCTGATAAAATATTTCCTCAAATTTTTAAAGATTTTGTTAGTAAGTCGAATGGCAGTGCAGGACTTAATTTTCTGAAATCGCTTACTAAGCTGATAAACCTCATTGGAGATGGCAAAATACCGGAACCACCAAGACCTTTCTTTTTTGGCGCAAAGCTTATCGCCCTCATAAAAATAGACGGAGGGTTGAGACCGATTGCCATAGGCAACACGCTGAGACGTATCGCGTCTAAATGCGCTGGAAGCCAGGCCCTCTCCGAGCGACAAAATTTTTTCGGAAACGTACAGGTAGGATGCGGTACCAAACGAGGAGCAAAAATAGCTGCGCACTCGTTTCGAAACCTAATTGAACGCGACGACAATCCAAAATGTACTGTTTTTTTAAAACTAGATTTTAAGAATGCCTTTAACTCTTTAAACAGAGAAACAATGCTGAATCATGTTTTTTTCAAATTGCCCCGAATTGTATAATTACACCCATTGCGCGTATGGTAAACCTAGTTACCTTTTTTACGGAAGCTCTGTCATAATGTCAGAAGACGGAACTCAGCAAGGTGATCCTGAAGCCCCACCCCTTTTTGCGGAAACAATTCATACACTAGTCAAACAGTTGGAGTCGAAAATTAACATCTGGTATTTAGATGATGGGAATTTAGCCGACGACTATAAGGTAGTACTCCGGGACCTTAAAAACATTCTAAAATCGGAACAAATTTATGGCCTGAGCTTTAACACTGAGAAGTGTGAACTTTGTTTTTTGGGACCGACTACTAGTACACAGTATAATTCAATTTTAACACAATTTCGAAAAATATGCCCCAAAATAAAAATAAAAAAAAAAAAAAAACTCCTCATTTTAGGATCTCCAATCGGCGAACTTTGCCGAAAAGAATTGCTCGACGAAAAAATTAGGGAGCTTGAAAAAATCTCGGATGTCATTGACAAACTAGACGCCCATTATGGTTTTTACCTCGATTTTACCTGACCATTATATTATCTCGTGTCGAGTTGCGTGTTCTTATGTGACATTCGACCAGAATGGCCAAAATGCAGTCTCTGCAGAATTCAGGATTTTAGCAGTGAACCTTCCGGATTGGCGATTTAGAACGGATAAGGACGTTATTTGAATGATTGGCCAAACGGTGAAGGCTAGAAGATTCTGGAATTCTAAATTTTAAATTTTCGAAGTGATGACGTAACATTTCTGAGAAATGTTAAAACGGCCATTTTGGCTAAAATAGCAGAAAGAAACAGAACAACTTTATCTGCGATTACGAACAGTACGAAAATCGAGACTAAAAAACAACAACGAACTACCGAACAGCAAAGGACGTTCCGAGTTGCAACTATTGTGCTGTTACAATAGTTGCAAGGCCGTTGCGAACAACGGTGAAGGGTAAAAACCAGCCCTCCGAGTTAGCGTGAACCTGAGGTTAAGGAGCTTGATTCGCCGGATTCAAGAATCCGGAAGGGTCTCGGGACGGGAACTTTTATGAACTTGTATTGAATTTTAGCATCCTGTCATGTCCTGACTTGAATTTAACTGATATTTTGATTAGTTTTGACAAGGATGAGGTGCTAGGAGTTGGGGGAAAGGGTTGATCCATCTTCGATGGAGATGATGATTTTTATCTACTGAACAAAAACAATAGTAATATGATAAGTAGCAGCCCTGTTTTTAGGAGTGACCTCGTGGTCTGGGGATACTGAGACCCAGCCATGAGCTCACTAATTTTGCATGTAATTCAGTTAATTTGAGCGTTCTGGTCGAAGCCGGAGAACAGTAGCGTTTTTGTCAGCCTGATGTAAGAAAGACCACCGAAAAGTACTGGCTTGGTAGAGACGGTGAAAAACATGCAAGGCTCTGTTTAGACGCTAGCCAGTCGTCTTAAGACTTAGTTTTGTTATCCGTCGATATGTATCTTCCGGGCGAATGTTACATTATTGAAGAAGCGTAACCCGTATCGATTTTAAATGAAAAGGACTTAAACACTTGACATCTTCTTTTATCATTATCACTTCCATATCTAGAAAATTCCAAGGATTTTGACTGGAATACATGATGAAGGGACTCATGACTGTAACCTCGGTTACTATGATACTTTTGACCTTCTGATTACCAACAGCAGAAAAAAATGATACTAATTGAAAAACCTTTTTATAATTTTTTTAAGACGTTGTTCGGAACAATTTGTGCTGTAACCGGCTCTCCCTGTTGACAATTTTCAACAGTTCAGTGTTGTTAATGAGCGACTCTTTTCATTCTCTTATTGATGCCTAAGTAGTGCTTTCAAGATATTTTGATGTAAAGATTTCAATACAGATGTGCGAGTCCCGATTTGACTTACTGAAACGTCGTCAATGGACGAAGTCGATGCTGTAAATTCTGCAACGGCGACACACAATGCGGCAACAAGTGGAAGTGAGTTCATAGCTATTGGGATGTCAGTTCGAAGGCGGCGTCGGAAGAAACGCGATGTCGCTGATGAACTTCAAGATGCCATGGGAAGCACAGTTAACGGGTCTCCGCCAATACCATTCTCTCCCCCTTATGATGAAAGTTTTCGCAATAAAGTCCCCGCTAGCAGTACCAGTATTTTAAAACGGCAAGATAGTGCCTGTGGTTCCGAATATGAACCTACTTCTAGTTGGGATACAACTAGTGGCAATTCGAACACTCTCTCGGTTATGGGAAACTCTGGGAACAGCGAAGCGTCGCAAAGTGCTTCGCGTAATACCAACAACAGTGCCGCGGGGAAACATGCGAGCAAACCAGATACAAGTGAAGCACAGATTACCAACCAAAGTAGTTTGCAAAGCAAACAGAATTCAAGCAGCACTACTCAGAGATCAATGATTGACTGTCAGAAAATGCGCTTCGCGAGGAACTTGGCCGAGTTTCAGGGTGGTTTGCACAAATGTGGAATTTCAGTCAAGGACCATATTGATATATATAGGCGTTTTAAACAGCTTGGTATGATCTTTTTTTTCTAAATCAAAGTTTTTATGTACGAATTTAACATGCTTTACTATTTACACTAACCAGCTTGCGAGCGAAGTGTATAAATACAAACCTGTCCTTTTTTCTAAGCTAACTCGCAATAAAAGTGTTCAATAAAAGTTTTGACTTACTTGCAGGTTGCACTTTTGCTAAAATCATAGTCTGTAGCATTGGAATTTCACAGCATCTGTTCTCTTCTTACTGCTTATCTTGTGGCTAGTTTTTGTGATTAATTAAGCGTCCGTGGCTGAGTGGTAGCGTGAGAGTCATTGTCTCTAGGTCGCAGATCGAATTCGAGAGTAAGCCGGATTTTTGCTAATTCGCAGCTAATTTTACTTTTTTATTGCACTTTTTAGAGCTGCTTTTAGTGTTCTGGCTAGTGTTTGCGAAGCGCAGCTTCGACTTAGTGTGTGAATTTTAAACTAATCTAATGGATACTTGTTAACCGAAAGGTTGGTGGTTCAGATCCATTCGAGAGCGCCGTAAAAACACTAAGTAGCAGGTGTTCGCACAAGTCACATATGAGGTTGCATTCAATTTATGCGACTTTTTGCATACAAGTTATGCGAAAAGCTTCACAATTCGTTCTTGAACATTGATCTTGGTTTTTAAACACTGGATACCTGTTTTTATAGCGGTGACAGTGCCAATAGAAAGCGATTCATTCACTGACAATCCCGCGGCTAGTAAATCTCAGAAACCACAGCGTAGACACAAACGTAGAATGAAAAAGATGGCTATCGATATTTCACCGATAGATGCCGCTGAGCTGGAAGTTGCTACAGTTGCGCATGAAGTTGGGCGACGGAAAAACTCAACGAGTAAAGGAAGCTTGGAAGCCTTTATTGATCCCGAACTTGAAACTGATCGTCTAAATGGGACGCTAACCAGAAGCAAAACAGCATCGGACTCAATCCGAAAAAGCGACCTTGAGTTAAATCTACCGGTTGCCGGAACTAGAAAAAGCCCATGGAAGAATATTCCTTTTAAATTTTCTTCGTCAGATTACAACTTCAGTACCTCTGCCTTGACGAATCATGACGACTCAAGTAACCAGACGATGGAGTTCGATGGCCAAAGTTCAAATACTCTGGAGGGTCCGCAATCTGGAACCCTGAATAACAGTTGTATAAGCAACCCACTGATTATGTCTGATATTGATGCGCATAATTTGAGCGAGACGAAGTTTTTGGAGTCCCCGCCATCACCAATAAAAGCTCTATCGGAGGGCGAACGAGATACTTCGTCTCATACTGTGTACGTGACATCAAAGGCGACTGAAACTGATCTAATCGAGGGAAAGGACGAGGTGTTTGGAACAAGCGACAGTAATGAGGGTTCGCTTGATACTTCTTCACCAAGTCAAGATGAAGGTGTGGCTGGAATCCTCACAGGTAAATATTCGAGCAGCTCCCGTGAAAACACTTTTTAGAGCATACATTTAAAAAGAGGGTAATTTCATTTCATGTTTTCAGATACTCAATTACTCAGTATTTATGGTTGAAAAATATGATGAAGTTCAACTTGTTTTTTAATGCACTCACTTGATTAAGTTTGTGTTAAGTAAGCCTTTTTCACGAGTTGCATGTTTTAGAAATGTTCAGTTTAAATTTTAAAATGATTTTGGTTCATCTTATATCCTGAATATTTATAGCAGACGAAGGCCGTGAAGGTGACGATGAGTTGTCGGAAAATGACGATGCTAGAAGTGTATGTGGAATGCCTTGTGCGATCCCTTGGTGGGAAGAGGGTGAAATGACTGAGGCCACTCATCGACCGGAGTTTGACTCAAAATTCAACCAGATACTGGAAGGAATCAAATCTGTCACGAGTAGCGACTCAGTTAACGCTTTCTTGCAGTCATCGGCCACATTGTTTCACCCTGGGGTTTGTAAAAGAACTTTGCCGACCGCCATCGAAGCAGACTCCCGTGACAACTCCTCGGAATCTTACGAACACTTGACGTCCCCGGATGGTAGCTCGAAAAGTAAACGGAGTCGCTACTCGGTTGTGGGAACTACTTCGACCAGACAGCGTTATGCAAAGTTTCATCATTCGGGCAAGCACAAGAAAAAACGAAGACGAAGTTACTCGGGTGAAGTTAAAACGCGGCATAGTGGCATTCGCTCGGCGAATTTTAGGGAACGTTCACAGCCAATAGAAAGAGTTCCAGAAAGCAGTATTGGCCATAAGATGTTATTAAACATGGGCTGGAATCCTGGCAATGGGCTAGGAAATATGGGAACTGGAATTGCAGAACCAGTGGTGCTAAAATCGCAGACTAATAAGAAGGGATTCGGTTTCGTAGCTGCCAAATAATGTTGAAATTAGCTTCGTTAGATTTAAACTTGTTCTATGATAATGCAGAAATTGTGAAAGCTTTGTTTTTGTTAATTTAATGTAACGAGAATAGAGATGCGATTTGACCTTGATTTCTTAAAGAAATAATAGACTACATTTAATGATTCTTTTCATGACCGGTACAAGTAGGCTAATTGAGATATTAAAGTATTTATGCAAAAGAAAACTCCAATTTTGTTCACTTGATTTATGCTTTAACATGGCGAAACCTTTGCTTATCTTTCAAAATTGTTGTCAGGGACCCACCTATTTTATTTGTTTTTTCTCATTTTTCTATTTTATTTGATAGTATCTCAAAATATCGTTTTTAAATTCTTCTACATACATAAAATTATGTGTCGCCATTTGGAAGTTGAGATTTTCTTTCAGACCAATGGAACAAGAACTGGACATTTTTGGACCTTCAGCGCCTGCGCTTATTCTCTGTTGCCAGTGCTCAACTCCAATTCAGCCAAATGCAGCTAACATGTGTGTGAACTGCCTTAAGGTGCAGGCCAATATTGGGGAGGAGATCTCGACCAACAACACGCTTGAGATCTGTCAGAAGTGTACAAGGGTGTTGCAGCCTCCCAATCAGTGGATAAGTGCAGAATTGGAATCGAAACAGGTAGATTTGTACAACCCGGTTCGAAATTTGCTTGCCAAATACAAAAAAGGACACCTTGTTCATAGATAACCGCCTCGTTCAAAAATTTGCTATATTATCTACAAGCCATATCAACAACAAAAAATTGCATTAAAAAACTCCCTTGTCGGGAAAGATTTCTGAGAAATACAATGTATTTTTTACTAGGAGTCAATGAACGTAGTTTTATACAGCAAAAGTGTAAGGGGATTTCTTGTTTCGAAAGCGGATTTTATTCAGATTTCCCAAAGGAACAAAAAAGTACATATTGATGCAGTTTTCTCAAGGGTTAATTTTATCCAAAAAAGTGCCAATCATATATTGTTTTTGAAATTCAAAGAGCTTTAAGGGCATGTATTGTTTTCTTTGAAATTGAAAAGTTGAAGTTTCCTGGCGTTCATTGACTCGTTGAAGATGATTTTTCTAAACTAGATTTTCTTCTATATTTTGATTTCTGAGCCGGGTTGTACACATTAACTTCTGAACAGTTACTCGGAGTCTGTCTGAAAAGAATCAAAGGTCTGAAAAAGAACCTCAGACTGGTAGATGCTTCCTTCATATGGACTGAACCGCACTCAAAAATGGTAATGGTGAAGATAGTCGTGGAAAAAGAAATAGAAGTTGGAACTATTCTGAGACAAAATGTTGTGGTTAATTTTGTCATTCAAAACCACATGTGTGATGATTGTCATCGATCTGAAGCTCAAGATTTCTGGAAAGCGGTGGTACAAGTCCGACAAAAAACGACCCACAGAAAAACGTTCTACTATTTGGAACAGCTCATTCTTAGATATAATCAACACTCATTGTGTACTAATGTTAAAACCGAAAGCGGAGGAGTCGATTTTTTCTTTGCACGAGAACAAGATGCGAGAAAGCTTCTCGAGTTTGTCCAACAAGTCGTCCCATGTCGCTATTCGGCGTCGAAGAAACTGAAGTCACACGACGCTTCCGATAACTTCTACAATTATAAATACAATTTAAGTATCGAAATTGTACCAATATGTCGTGAAAACATTGTTGCGTTGCCCAAAAAATTAGCCCAATCTTTGGGAAATTTGTCACAGCTATGTATTTGCATTCACGTGACAAATTTGATCACGCTCATTGATCCATTCACCTTGCATTTGGGCGAAGTTTCGGCTAATGTGTTCTGGCGGGAACCATTTTCGGCCATTTGCGCACCAAGCCAACTGACCGAATTTGTGATAATCGAAGTGGAAGTAACAGATCACGCAAACATGAATCTAAGCAGTGGCGGTGTTGTTTCGAATAGACACATGCTAGCCGATGTGTATATGAGCCGACATAATGAAATTGGAATCGCCCAAGTTCATACGAGGACGCATTTAGGTCATCTACTTAGACCAGGCGATACAGTGCTAGCGTTTGACTTTCGTTATAGTAATGTAAACCACGCGGTTCTTGAAACAATGGATGCTTCTAAGATTCCAGATGCGATAATAGTGAAGAAGATATACCCGAATCGTGTTAAAAGAAACAGAGAGCGAAGATGGAAATTGAAGAAACTGGGAATAACTCGCGATTCCGTGTCGTGTAGTAATGACAATGACTACGCGGAGTTCATGGAAGATTTAGAAGAGGATTCGGTTATGAGGAGCAAAGTGAACATCTACGCTGATAAGAAGAAATTAGGGAAAAATGGGGGCGGTGCGAGTTCAATGGACGTTGATGGTCAAAATAACCCGGATGAAGAATATCCCCAGATTTCGCTGGAAGAAATGCTGGAAGATCTGAACTTCGAGGATTCTTCTTAGATGCTTAATAAAAATCAATAAAATTGAGTGGGTATGACTGAACATGTTTGGATAAAGGAAAGAAATTACACTTAATTTGAAATTTAGTTGGGCAAAATCAAATTTCTATTATTTGAAAGAGTTCAGTGAAGCGTTTTTAGCGTCAAATGATAAGATATGAATTGCTTTCATGCTTATAAGATTGAGCAACTTTTTTCGCCAGAAAAAACGGAAACTGATCAATTTTGGAGATTGTTATCGCAGCTCGAAAATCTATTCTGAAGGAAAGTCTAGGAAAATTTAGTTTAGTTTCAGGTTTGAAATGTGAAATTGATCGCGCTTCGATGAATCATGTTTCCAACCAGATGTTCCAGAAAGCGGCTGATGCTATTCGAGCATCAAATGCCATCTTGATTACAGCGGGAGCTGGGATGTCTGTAGATTCCGGCCTTCCTGACTTCCGAGGATCCGAAGGATTCTGGAAAGCCTACCCGCCCCTGAAAAAACGAGGACTCACGCTACCCGAAACAAGCAACCCTAGATGGTTTGAAAGTGACCCTCATTTTGCATGGGGGTTTTTTGGTCATCGATACAATCTGTATTCAAACGCGAAACCCCACAAGGGGTTTGAAATTCTGAAAAAATGGGGTGAAAGAAAAGCGAAAGGCTGTTTTGTGTTCACAAGTAATGTTGATGGCCATTTCCAGAAATCTGGGTTTCCAGAAGAATCAGTTTTGGAATGTCATGGAAGCATTAACTACCTTCAACTTGTAGATAGTACTGTCAATTCAGAAATCTGGAAAGTTCCAGAAGATTTCAACCTAGTTGTTCGCGAAAGTGATTTACACGCTGAAGACCCTCTACCCCAGGGACCTCTTGGGTCGGACAACAAGTATCCCGCTAGACCTAATATACTAATGTTTGGTGATTGGGGCTTTGTTGACACCCGTAGTGATATTCAAGATAGGTTTTTTCATAAGTGGCTCTATGAAGTTTCAAAAGATGACAATTTGGTCGTTATTGAAATCGGATCTGGAACTTTTGTACCTACGGTCAGAATGAAAAGTGAACAAATCGCAAAAATTAAAAGAGGTTGCCTAATTAGGATAAATCCAAGAGAACCCGAAGTTCCCAAAACGCTACAAAATTCTATTTCTTTTCCAATGGGTGGGTTAGATTGTCTCTCTCGAATTGACGCTTTACTGAGTTGAACGCTTAAATATGTGCTATTTGATTGCAGGTTGAAGAACCATGCATAAATTGAAATATTGCTAGAGTATTATTTGAATGAACGTTGCTGTAATAATATCAATGTTTACTGAGAGTGGTCTGCACTTAAACACCATTTGTGCCGATAAGTTGAAATACATTATTATAAAGTGTAGTAACTTCTTGCAAACGCGATTGTGTAGAGTTACATTCGATTTGGTGCTAGCATTTAGTTACATTTGAACTAATTTTTATCGAAAATAGTTAATTGTTTTCGGTCACCGCCGAGTTGTTACATCGAGTTTGAATTATTTGAAGATTAATTCATATAACTTACACCGTGATACTTTGTCGTGGTTCTCGATTGGTTATATTTAGTTCTCATTTCAGATTGAGTGTCTATTGTCAAAACATCCTTAGAAAGTTCAGAAAAATCATCTTTATCTAAAAATGGCCGGAAACTTGTCGAATACCTCAAGAGCCATGTTCGAGTAAGTGTTTTTCAGGTTTATTATTCGGCAAAGATTCCGCTCCTAGAATTAATTGGCCCTTGTACCATATATTTTTAACCACCCCAATTCGTTTACTCTTGTGATTAGCAAATGTGATACAGTGTGAGGGTAGTTTTTACCTTGAAATGAAGTTACCATAAGCATGTAATATACTGTTTCTCTTCTTTCTTTTGCTAACGAACATTTGCCTTGCTTTTTAACAAAATGTACCAAGTTGTTTCGAGGTGGAAGTTGCCCCTTACGGTAACACAATTTGCCGAACTCTGAAGAGCGCAAAGTTTTAAAGGCTACTCCAACACGCAGATTTAAGTGTCAAGGAACGAAGTGACATTTATTTACGTCGTGTGGTTTTTTAAACAAAATTAAAAGTTGTTCACGCTTAAGTGTATATTTTTTGCGGTTTGATTTTGAATTTTCAAGTTCAATTCGTTTTCTTTTTCTGCAAATTCATTTTTAAGAGGAAGGGAAATTTGCTCTCCGGTAACAAAAATGCAAATGGCGCAAGGAAAAATTTGATTCAAAGAGGATTTTTAGATTTCCCTGTAAAAGACCATCTATTCAGTTTTCTCAAAGTTGGTTAATGTTACCTGAAAGGCGGGCATCATATAAGAGTCTTTTAAGCTAGGGTGAGCTCCGTTGAATTAAGATTGGATGCAGAAATGCAATCTTTCGACAGCATTTTGTTCCCTATCAAGTCCACTCATAGACACGTCTCGCTGGCTCTAAAAAGAAGGTGGGAATCATGTTGGTTTATTGAAATATCTGATAAATATATTACGAACTTAACGATAAGAGTGTTTAGTAATTTAGGAAGACTCAGCTTAGCACTTATAACTGAGATGAACCAAGTTTTTCAATGCGATGCGTGCGTTAATCGCAGGATTAATTTTGGTGTGATAGGAGTTAAGGTGAGGAATTTTTTATGCTTACTTTTTCTGTTGACGTTATCCGATTGTTACAAAAATTGGCGGCTTTTTATCCTATTCAAATTTTTACAGGTTAAATTATTGTTCGCTTTATCCGATTTTTCTGAAAGTTGACTAACTAAGCCATGGCAAACAAAGTTGACCTGCATACGTAATCTTCTAAAACCTCTAGTTATTCCATCAAATCGATTATCATGCCAGGTGCGGGGGAACAAGCGCCAAATTGACATGCGGACTAATTAGGCCTTCACAAATATATTTGGTCTGCATAATTTAATTGGTTAAACACCTCGACTACATGAAGTTGATGCATTTTGATAGAAAAAGAGCCTTTTAATGTTATATTGCGATTAATTAATGCTTATTCGTGCATTTCTCAAATTCAATGCCCATTCTAGAAAAAAATTTGTGAAATAATTTTTTTAAAAAAAGATCAAGTTTTTTTCTGATAGTGCTTTATAAAAAAATGTGGTAGGAACATTATCTGCTACTTGTCCAGCAAACCGACTATTCTAGTGTTTACCAAGGTTATGATACCTTACACATTGATGACAATGAATTCTGATTTTTTTCTGCATCCGAGTTAATATAAAAATTTTCTATCTTTTTTTTTCGAGTTAAAACATAATTTCTAACAATTATCAACAACCCACACACATACACGCACACACACACACACACACACACTATCAACTAATAACAGCTGTTTTAAAAGAAGAAAAAATGCAGTATCAGGGGAAGGGGTGGGGTGAATGTGAGAGCAAGAAAGAGTCGACCATTCCAGTGCGAATGAATTGACATTATCAGGAAAAGTATCCGTCATCGATTTCGCTTAGTCATTTTTCCATTCATACTTCGGATCAAAATGGACCATTAAATCGTACGTCGCACGTGCATCTCGTCTGTTGCAACAACCTAAGCGCATGTAACTAAAAGTTAATGGACTGAAATAATGGATTAATTTTGGTTTATATCTTAATTGTTTATCAGTATTAAGACATGAAATCGATACCCGCGGCCGTAAGGACCAACTTCCAGTAAGTAATCGGCGCACTCTTTCCTCTCTTAAATCAGCTAGTTAATTAACCATATCAATAAATCTATCGCTAATCTATCATACTTTGCCTATCTTATTTGCCCAGGAAATCCTTTGTTCGACGGGTTGAGCAGACTTTTAATTACAATTAGAACTAAATTTGGGTCAACATTTTTCAGTGAAACAAACAATTTATCCAAATATTTGTAATTTAGTTTCAATTTTGCTTAAAAGCAAAAAAAATTGTGATTTCAACGTTTTACAGATCCCCCTTAGCGCAAAAAAAATTAACTGATGGTAATCTAGGTTTTTGAAGTTCGAAATGCCCAAATTAGGTATGTATAGGAATTAGTGGGGCTCTTAAACCATCGTTAAAATTGTTCAAATTAAATGGGGGGCATAATTAACATTGGTTATGGCTCTTTTCCTATTTCCTTCACATTTGAATTTTAGTTTTGAAAAACAGTTATTACCTTGTCATAAAGTAAGGAAATTTTTTATGGTGAACAGACTAACTTTTTTCTAACAAAAATTTCTTCATCATACTTTACTTCGTTTAGCTATGATATTACGCGTTTAGCCATGATAACTCGTACAAAACTAGAAAACAGAAAAATTTGAATGGGGGAGGGGGAGTGTAAAAGCCCATGTTTCCTATTATTATCTGAAGTGTGCAGGATTTTACGGTCTAAGGTAGGAAGAAAAAGTGTCTTCCGAATGGTGATGGAAAGGAGCCTTCATTTTAAATGAAGTCTGTTTGACACGTAATGAGTGTTGATTTCTTTACAACCGTAAAGGATCTTTCATCGCTTGATTTTTTTTCTATTGTTGATGAAGGAAGGCAAAAAGAGGTTTAAAGTTCGTTCACGTTAAATTTTTACGTATTTGCAACAAAATTGAAGTGAACAAAGCTCAATGCAAAACAAGCACCAAATGTATACGGCTGAAAAGGCTTGAAAAAATCTTACTGTGTGAGGCGTGTGTGATTTATTCTACCACACGGCTAGTGGCTGAAAATGTTTTCACGTGTTGGTATTTGCATGCTCGCTAGTAGAATTATTTTACGGCCTTTTTTACAGTAATTGTTTTTCGTCGGCTTTCATGAGGAGCAATATTTCTTGACCCAGTATTAATAATGAGAACAAAAATCAAAAGAACAGCGGGAAAAAAAACCTATAAAAGCAAAAGCCTTTTAATTTTAAGTTTTTAGCTCGGTGGTGGCCTCGTTTCCACTTTCCCTATTTTTCGAAAGGTTCTTTTTGAGTTATTGGCTCTTTTTCCTTTTCCTCCCACCTTCAAATTTTTACAAGTGAAATTTTTTTCACGCTATCCGAATGTTACAAAAATTGGAATGCGAACTAATTAGGCCATGACAAACATAATTGGTCTTCATGTTTAACCTTGTATAACCCCTCGTTACACCATA